CGACCACGGGGGCCGCGCGCGGCCTCCCCTCCCGTCGCCCGTCGAGGCGACCTCGGGGACCCGCGTGGCCTCCCCTCTCGTCGCCCGTCAAGGCGACCTTGGGGGCCCGTGCGGCCTCCCCACCAGTCACCCGTCGTGGCGACCACGGGGGCCGCGCGGGTCCCCTCCCGTCGCCCGTCGAGGCGTCTTCGGGGGCCGTGCGCGGCCCTCCCCGTCGCCCGTTGAGGCGACTTCGGGGGCCCCGCGCGCAACCCTCCTCGTCGCCCGTCGAGGCGACTTCGGGAGGCCCGCGCGGCGCCCTCCCCGTCGCCCGTCGAGGCGGCTCTGGGGGCCCATCGCGGCGCCCTCCGTGGTGCCCGTCGCGGCGCCCCAAGGGGGGGCCGCGCGGCTCCCTTCTCATCGCCCCTCGGGGCGCCCTGGGGGCCGTGCGTTTCCCCCTCCCTCCCCCCCCCCCCCTTCCTCCTACCTTTCACCTGCAGCGGCCGCCCCTGGAGCCGCCCGCCACTGCAGCAGCCGCCCCTGGAGCAGCCCGCACCTGCAGCAGCCGCCCCTGGAGCAACCCGCACCTGCAGCAGCCGCCCCTGGAGCAGCCCGTGCATGCAGCAGCCGCCCCTGGAGCAGCCCGTGCCTGCAGCAGCCGCCCCAGGACCCGCGCGAGCTGCTCCTGTGGAAGCCCGTCCCGTCCCCCCCCCCCCCCCGTGCTGCCCATTGCTCCCATTCCGCCGTGCGTTCCGCGGTGGTTGGGGTGTGGGGTGGCAAGCATGGGGGTGAGAGGTGTGGGTTCTCCCCTCCTCCTTTTTCGTCTCCCACTGCTGCAGCTGCCGCTGAGGGTGGTGAAGGTGTGGGAGCTGTGGGGAGTGGAGCTAGGGGTGAAACTGGGGGTGTGTGTAGGGGGGTGTGGGACAGTTGGGGGAGGTTGAGTGGAGGCAGCCGTCGTGTCGTCCGCAGCGCCTGTATTCCGGGGCCCTTGTCGCCGGTAGCTCAGAGAGCCTGCTGCACCTGTTGCCCGTGGGTCCGTTGCTCCTGCCGCTCGTCGCAGCCGCAGAGCCTGTTACTCCTGTATTCCGGGGCCCTTGTCGGCGGTAGCTCAGAGAGCTTGCTGCACCAGTCGCCCGTGGGTCCGTTGCTTCTGCCGCTCGTCGTAGCCGCAGAGCCAGTTACTCCAGTAGTCCGGGGCCCTTGCCTCGGTAGCCACTGTGTCAGCCGCCACTGTGTCAGCCGCTTCTGTTGCCCGTGTGTCTGCAGCTTCAGTCGTCGCCTCCCATCTTTTTCTCCCCTCACAGTCCCTCCTCCTCCTCACTTGCCCTCTGTGATAGCCTCTAGCTTTGCTGATAATTGTGAACTATTGCACTGCTTGTTCATTGTGCTGATTACACCCCACTTTGGCTATGGGGGTGTGTCAGAATATGTTGTTTGTGTAGCCTGCAGTGGGGCACTCAATAGTGAGTACAACCCCTTAGGGTTTGCTATTTGTATCCTGCTGCTTGCTAGTTCAATCATCCCTTCTCAATTTTGTTCGTGCACACGTTCCTAGCTTGTACTTGGCGCCTCCTCGTTCTAGTCCTATTGTGGCCTAGGCTACTAAGCCTAGGCCGTACTCATAGTATATTTGACAGCTGCTGCAATGGCGGTTGCTCCAGGGCACGGGTTAGGGCAGGGCGCCGCGGCGGGCAGGGGCGACGAGGGAGCCGCAACGGGGCCGCGAGGGAGCCGCGACGGGGCCACGAGGGGTCTGGAGAGGGGCCGCGGAGGGGCCGCGAAGGGGCCGCGAGGGGCCGTAAGAGAGGGGCCGCGAGGGGCCGTGAGAGAGGGGCCGCGAGGGGCCGTGAGTGGGGCAGCGAGGGAGTGGCGGCTGCTCCAGGGCGCGGGTTAGGGCAGGGCGCCGCGGCGGGCAGGGGCGACGAGGGAGCCGCAACGGGGCCGCGAGGGAGCCGCGACGGGGCCACGAGGGGTCTGGAGAGGGGCCGCGGAGGGGCCGCGAAGGGGCCGCGAGGGGTCGTAAGAGAGGGGCCGCGAGGGGCCGTGAGAGAGGGGCCGCGAGGGGCCGTGAGTGGGGCAGCGAGGGAGCGGCTAAGGGGCCGCGAGGGGCCGTGAGAGGGGCCGCGAAGGAGCGGCTAAGGGGCCACTAAGGGCAGGGGACGCGGGGCGCGACTCGGGCAGGGGTGATGCGCGCTCCGGGCAGGGAAAAAAAAATCGAATTTTCGGTGGGCCCTAGGAAACGTTCCCACTAGGGAACCTGCTCTATACCATGAGAAGAAACGAGGAATGAATGGACTAGGAAACAGGTGGGTACAAGTAGGAAAACCTAAAAGTGTTGTACCCCATATTGTCTACCCCACTACAGCCTACACAGACTATAGCATATAAGCTTGACGGATTCGATTTGGCAGAAGGGACAAAAGTCTGTTGCGCACAGTTGGTTAGAATATCCAGTACAGTGCGTGGCATGGAAATTGGTGACACGTGGGTGAATGTGGGGAAGACTACAGTCTTGTTTCTATAACTTCCGTGTCTGAGGCACGGAGGGGTGGAAAGTGCCCGCTACTGGCACTGTAGTCCCCTTCAAAGCGCAGGGTTGCTAGTAGTACCCCTGCCAAAGCTACTTACCCAGCATTTTTCCAGGTGCGACGCACTCATTCTGAGTGACCCAGCGTTGTTCCACGTGAGTCCGTAGTTTTACATTCGCAGCAATCGCTCCTAGGTTGTCTTAGTCACGAACAACACACGAAACTGGTTATAAAAAACCTTCGACACTGGTGTATCCTCGCTGAAGCCGTTGTATTCTATATCATACTCGCGTGGTCCAATCCGTTTAGGCCTCAGCTTCACGTCAGCTGCCAGTTGGTGCACATGGCTGTTCTCACGGACTCTAGTAGTGGAACCCACAGATCTCCTAGACGACGTTCTCATCAGGATCTTGTGGCCTTCCTGGCAGTCAGTCATTTCTTGCACATCGGACAGCGATGCTCAGTGCAACTTTGTCACGCCCAGGTCTAATCATCTCTACTGGGACGCTACTCCAGACACCCGACCCTTCCTGCCTCTGCAGATGCCGCTCACAATCTCTTCATCGCGTCCATTTGCCATCGCTGGCGGCGTCTCGCTCACAGGCATGTTTCGATGCTTCTCGTCAAAGAAGACCGCATAGTTTCTCGTCAGGATGTCCTCACCGCCGTCGCTTGCTTCCCGAATTTAACCCACCTGCATTTGTCGGACGGAAGTGTTGAAACGCTGGACAACTCGTTTCTAGCTGACCTCGCCTCTTTGTGTCCTGGGCTGAGAGCACTGCATGTGGGGAAGTTGATGATGGCAGCGGATGCCGGACAGCACGGAAGGATTGACCGCGTGATATCAAAATCTGGCTTGGATCATTTCTTCCCCCACTGCACTCAACTGGAGCAGCTGTCGTTGTACTGTCTTGACAAAAACCTGAACCCAATAGCTTCATTCTTTCAGCTTCAACACTTGAGCATCCTCGTCTTGACCACTCCTTGGTTCTTACGGCTCCGAACCTCAGCAGCCTTTCGTCTCTCACTGCAGTCTCCATTGAAGCCTCCTCTTTTCACTACGACCAGCTTTCCAGCCTCCTTCAACTCACCAGCCTCATCCGCCTCTCCTTGTCAGATGACATTCTCCTCGTTTCACCAGATCCGCCTGCCTTCTCACTCGCCCAGCTACCCTCTCTCGAATCTCTCACGTTTGGACTGCACGATGCAGATTTCAGCATTTTCTTCCCTCTTGGATCGCCATACAGCTTCCTGAAACGCCTGCAGCTTAGCAAGTGCTTCAGCCAAGAGCGACTTCCAGACAGTATCGGAGAGGTTCTGCCACGCCTCCAAGAGCTCAGCATCAGCGGGTGCGAAAGCTTCCGAGACTTGACCGATGAGTTCACCTCCCTCACCTGCCTAGAGAGCTTGACCATACCCTCTTGCCCCTTGTCCACTCTACCTGAAAACTTCGGCAACCTGCCAGCCTTGAAGACGCTGGTGCTGTGCACCCTGCGGCTTCGCCGATTCCCTGCTTCCTTCACCAGACTCGCATCTCTGGAGTCGCTTTTCGTGTTTTGGTGCATGGGGGTGGACACGCTACCTGCAGGGTTTGGCCGCCTCACTACACTGCAGACTCTTAGCCTCGCATGGCTGATGAATCTAGACCTTCCAGAAGACTTGGGGGGACTCACCAATCTCCAAACCTTCCATCTCACCAAAAACACGGAAGAGCAGCTGCCGCCCTCATTCACGCAGCTGGCTTCGCTGACCAGGTTGGAGCTGGATCGGTGCACGATTGCCGAGCTTCCCGCGGGCATGGCGGAGATGACAAACCTGAAGGAGCTTTGCCTTCGGAAGTGCCTGGCCATCAACGAGCTTCCGGAATTTGTAACAGCCCTGGTCAACCTTCAAGTGCTGAGGATTCAGGAGTGTCGCCGTCTCTCATCGGTTCCCCGGAGGCTGGACAGCCTTACCAGGCTGAAAGAGTTGGAGCTGAGGAAATGTTGGCTGCTGAGAGAAGCCCCACAGGCTCTGCCATTCAGTCTCCAGGCACTTTCCTACTTCAAAAACAGTCAGCACATGGTGTCTCCGCCAGACATTTCAAGGCTTACCGAGCTCAGGGTATTGTTCTTGGGCATCATCCGTGCACCAATTCTTGAAGCCATTGCTGCCAGCCTCGCTTCTCTCTCTGGTCTGGAGCACCTGCAGGTGCAGCTGGGCGAAGATGCAGAGGAGTTTCTGTCCCTGTTGTCAAGGCTTCCTCGCCTTCGCATCTTGACGCTCAAGGAGGCCCGTAGCTTGAACAGGCTAGTGGAATCTGACGGCCCGGCATTGCAGGAGCTGCGGCAGCTGAACATCCACACCACGGGTGAAGAACTCACGGTGCTGCCTGCTGCCATCACCACTCTACACTGCCTCACATCCATTCAGATCCATGCGCGGAGGTTATCTTCCCTTCCAGATGCCATTGGGGCATTTTCAAGGCTGCTCAGGCTGGACCTATCCAACTGCTCATCCCTCACGCATCTCCCTGCGTCCCTCACGCAGCTCTCCTGCCTGCATCATCTGAACGTCAGCAACACCCGCATCCGCCTGCTTCCTACTGGCTTTGCTCAGCTCAGCAGGCTCAAGTGCCTCGATTTTCAGAATTGCAAGCAGCTTGAGCTCTGCCTTACGACATACCGTCATCGCCCGGATATAAGACAGTGTTGAATAGTAGACAGGGGTTGACTACTATACGGGTGTCTCTTATAAACAGGCAAGCCTTTTTATACGACACCTATTTGTGTGTACGAGATAAGACATATATGTCTTATAATCAGAACCGGGGTTTAGGGGTTTTCTTATAAACAGGGGTTGTCTTCTAAACGAGCCTACACTACTTTAGGGGGGGTACATCCATACATTCATGAATCCCTACTTCTACCTAACCCCCCTCAGTAACCGCCTCCTCTGCAGCACTAGCAACAGGCTCTACGCCCAGGTCTGGCACTCGCCAGGCATGCCTAGCCGTCTCCCTTGGCTCGATCATGCGGTCAGCCTCGGCCGCCGCTCCGCGGTAGTTGGGGGTCTCCTGGTACAGCACCTCCAGGCCAGATGCCACGGCCACCTCCCGCACGCCCTCCGCCTGCATCGCCTCCTCCTCCTCCTCATCATCATCCTCCTCCTCCTCTGGAGCCTTCCGAAGCAGGCGCGTGTTGTCGCCTGTGGTCCCCCCGAGGGACATGTCCTCAGAGACATCGGTGGTGCTCCTGGCGCGCAGGTGAGACATCACCAGGTGGTTCTCTGTTCCGTCCAGCTTGCTGGAGATCCCACAGTGGCGGAACGCGTCGATGATGATCTGCCTAGGGACTTGATCCCAAGCCTCCGCGATCCACTGCAGTGTCAGACTCATACACTATAGTCTGTGTAGGCTGTAGTGGGATAGCTTATATGGGGTACAACACTTTAGGGTTTGGTATTTGTACTTCTCATGCTGCTCAGTTCAATCATTCCTCGTTTCATTTTTCAATTGGTATCAGAGCAGGTTCCCTAGTGGGAACGCTCTCTAGGGCCCACCGCAAGGGCAAGGGGGCCAAGGGAGCTGGAGGAGCTAGCGGGGGCGGTGGCGGCGGCGGTGGAGGCGGTGGAGGGGGTGGGGGTGGCAGTGGGGGTAGTGGTGGGGGTGGGGTCGTCAGTGGCGGCAGTGGAGGCGGCGGCGGCGGTGGCGGTGGGAGCGGAGGTGGCGGAGGTGGCGGCGGTGGAGGAGGTAGCGGCGGAGGAGGTGGAGCTGGTCGGGGTGGCGCTGCGCAGAGGGTCGGCTCCAGTGGTGGTCCGCGCCAGCAGCAGCAGCGCACCCGTGAGATCCCTCCCCCTCAGCAGCTTCGTGAGTGGTACGCTGCACGTCAGCGAGGTGAGGGTGCTGGTCCGTGTACCTACGTCCTGCGCAGCGTCGACCGCGCGGGTGAGCCGTACGGGGGTTTGCACTCCACCCAGCGCTGCTTTGGCCGCCTGACGGACGCTTGGCGTCACCAGTTCCCTGAGGCCACTGAGATCCCTCGCTGGGGCGAGATGTCTAGGGCGGGGGTTCCTATCTTTGATCTTGATTATGATGCTATTCTTGCTGCCAAGTATGCTGTGACTATTAGTCATGAGGGTGACTGTTACCGGTGTTTTCCGCCCGACCCGAGCATTGGTACTACTGCTCTAGGTACTGCTGAGGCTTCTGCTCTAGGTGCCGGTGAGGCTGCTGCTCTAGGTCCCAGTGAGTCTGCTTCCTCAGGTGCTGGTGAGTCTGCTCTCTCAGGTACTGCGTCGGCTCCGGCCTCCCACACCTTTACCCTTAACTGAGGGGCTTCCCGCTCCTTCTTTCGAGACCGCACCACACTCACGCCGCTCAGTTGGCCTGTTGCAGTCTCTCTGGTAGACCCCTCTGGGGTCCTGTCCTTGCACACTTCTCCATTGCCCTCCCGTGTCCGCCGGCCCCCTCTGGCACCCTGTCTGGTCTTTACCTCCCCTCGTTCTCTACGAACTTGGTGAGTGGTGCTGACGTACAGGATGCGGGGGTTCAACAGTTCACTCCTGCGAGCCAGCGAGTGACCCACTGCACGAGCGCTCGGACAGGCTGACACTTGGCCACGTTTACACGTCGGTCGGGGTCGAGCCTGTACACACTGACCACTGAGTCTCCTCCAGTCACTGCGTCTGGTCAGGTAGCTGCGTCGGGTCAGGTGTTTGCTGCAGCGTCCGAGTCTGGTCTTGAGTCTGCCCCCTGCTCTTGTCGCCTCCTGTCTCACGAGACTCTCCTCTGGAACCACCGCCTTGGTCACCCCTCCCTGCCTCGTCTCCGAGGCATGGCCTCTCGTGTCCTTGTCTCTGGTCTTCCCCGGTCCCTCCCTCCCCTTCCTCCGGGGCCTGCCCCTACCTGCATCCCCTGTGTTGTGGGGCGGCGGCGTGCTGCCCCTCACTCCTCCCAGTTTCCTCCGACAGAGGCCCCGCTGCAGACGCTTCACATGGACGTGTGGGGCCCAGCCCGCGTCCGTGGACAGGGTCACGAGCGCTACTTCCTGCTGGTGGTTGACGACTACTCGCGTTACACCACAGTCTTCCCCTTGCGCAGCAAGGGTGATGTCACTGAGGTGTTGATCGACTGGATCGCGCAGCTCGTCTCCAGCTCAGGAAGAGTTTCGGCTCGGACTTTCCTGTTCCGCGTCTGCACTCTGACAGAGGCGGAGAGTTTTCCTCTGGCCTTCTGCGAGTCTACTGTCGTGCACGAGGCATCCGCCAGACCTTCACGCTTCCGGACTCTCCACAACAAAATGGGATTGCTGAGCGCCGCATTGGCATGGTCATGGACGTCGCCCGTACGTCCATGATGCATGCGGCTGCCCCCCGTTTTCTGTGGCCGTTTGCGGTTCGGTACGCGGCGCATCAGATCAACCTTCAGCCCAGGGTCTCCATGCTGGAGGCCTCCCCAGCTTTGCTGTGGACGGGGAAGGTTGGCGATGCGTCTGCGTTCCGTGTCTGGGGATCTCGGGCGTTTGTCCGCGGCTTGTCTGCGGACAAGCTGTCCCCTCGTGCTGCTCCCTGCGTCTTCCTTGGCTTCCCCCCTAACGCCCCAAGGTGGCAGTTCTACCACCCCACCTCTCGCCGTGTTCAGTCCTCCCAGGACGTCACGTTTGACGAGTCGGTGCCCTACTACCGCCTCTTCCCCTACCGCACTCCGTCCCTTCCCCCCGCCACCGCTCTTCCTTGTGCCAGGTCCCCCCCCGGTAGACCCCCTTCCCCCTCGGGGTCCTGCCCCTTCAGGTGTGTCCCAGGTAGACGCAGTCGAGCCTGTCGAGGTTACTGGTGACTCTGGTGCTGCTGAGGGTGCTGAGCCTGGGGGTGCTGACTCTGGGGGTGCTGAGCGTGGGGGTGCTGAGCCTGGGGATGCTGAGCCTGGGGGTACTACGCCTGGGGGTGCTGCGCCTGGGGGTGCTGAGGCTGGGGTTGCTGAGCCTGGGGGTGCTACGACTGGGGGTGCTGAGCCTGGGGGTGCTCCGCCTGGAGGTGCTGAGCCTGGAGGTGCGGAGCCTGCAGGAGCTGGGCCTACTCGTGTGGCGTCTGGCGGTGATGGGCCTGGAGGTTCTCCGGGTGCTCCGTCTCGACGGGAGCCACTCTCTCCACAGGAGGTGCGTGAGTGGTTTGCCCAGCGCTGGAGGCGTGTTGCTGGAGCTAGAGGTTCTTCGGCTGCTGAGGGTGCTGGTACCACGGGTCCCGGAGGTGCTCGTACTGGGAGTACTGGAGCTGCTGGGCCTTCGGGTACTACTGGAGCTGGGGCCACTGCGTCTTCTCGTGGTCAGAATGGAGCTGGAGCTGCTGAGGGTGTTGGCGCTGTGGGTATTGCTGGCGGTACTGGAGGCGGTCCTGCAGGGGGTGCTACTGGTGCTGCTGGAGGTCCTGAAGCTAGTGGAGCTGCAAGGGGTGCTGGAGCCGGCGGTGCTGATGGCGCTGGTGCTGCCACTGGGGGTACTGGTGCTGTCCCTCCTGTGTCTGGAGTCGCTGCGCGGCCTCGGCCGTACTTCGTTCCGCTCCTTGAGCAGGTTCTTGCTACTGTTGTCGCTGACCCTTCCTTTGATTCTAGTCCGACTCCTCCGCGGCCAGTCCGACTGTCACGCGTCTCCTTGCTACTGTTGTCACTGACCCTTCCTTTGAGTCCACTGCTGCATCTGCCCTAGTTGCTGAGCTCGTCGACTTTGCTGCTCGCTGTCGTCTAGACTACGCTGCTAGTCTTGTTGCTGAGTCTGAGTCTGTCTGTCCTTCGTCCATCGGGGGTGAGTGTGCCCTTGGCACGGACGTCCTTGAGGACAGGCAGGAGGAGTTATAGTGTTTGGCTGCTGCTTCACCTCATCTCGTGTCCGTACTGCTTACCCCTGAGGGAGACCCGGATGCACTTGACATCCCGACTCCGCGCTCTTACGCGGAGGCGATAGAGGGTCCCTACTCTTCTCAGTGGCAGGCAGCTATGGATGCAGAGATGGCTTCCTTGAAGTCCACAGGCACCTACGTTGACGAGGTTCCCCCGCCTGGGGCGAACATCGTTAGTGGCATGTGGATTTTCAGGGTGGAGCGGCCGTAGGGTTCTCCGCCTGTTTTCAAGGCGCGTTACGTGGCTCGTGGCTTCAGTCAGCGGCAGGGAGTTGACTACTTTCAGACCTTCTCTCCCACCCCGAAGATGACCACTCTTCGGGTACTGCTGCACATAGCTGCTCATCGTGACTACGAGCTGCACTCTCTTCACTTCAGCACTGCTTTCTTGCAGGGCAGCCTTCACGAGGAGATCTGGCTGCACCGCCCACCTGGATTCACTGGGACTTTTCCTCCTCGCACCCAGTGGAGCCTCCGGCGGCCAGTCTACGGTCTCCGCCAGGCACCGCGTGAGTGGCACGACACACTGAGGACTACACTTGCGGCTCTTGGGTTTGCTCCCTCTACTGCCGACCCGTCGCTGTTTCTGCGCACCGACACTTCTTTGCCGCCGTTCTACATCCTCGTGTACGTCGACGACTTGGTCTTTGCCACAGCTGACTCTGCTGGACTCGCCCACGTGAAGTCCGAGCTGCAAAAGAGACACACGTGCACAGACCTGGGTGAACTGCGCAGCTACCTTGGCTTGCAGATCACCCGGGACAGAGCACAGCGCACCATTACCCTGACTCGTCACACATGGTGCAGCAGGTCCTTCAGCGCTTCGGCTTCACGTACTCCTCGCCTCAGGCCACTCCTCTGCCTACTCGCCACTCGCTCTCAGCTCTGCCTTCGGATGAGTCCGTAGAGTCGAGTGGCCCGTACCCAGAGCTTGTTGGCTGCCTCATGTACCTGATGACCTGCACTCGACCTGACCTTGCATACCCTCTTAGCATTCTCGCACGCTATGTTGCTCCTGGGAGACACAGATTGGAGCATATGGCTGCAGCAAAGAGGGTGTTGCGCTACTTGTGCAGTACGTCGGGCATGGGGCTTGTGCTTGGAGGGCAGAGTCCAGTGGTCCTCACTGGGCACGCAGACGCTTCTTGGGCTGACGACCAGGCTACGCAGCGGTCGTCACAGGGTTACACCTTCAGCCTTGGTTCCGGCTCTGTTTCGTGGCGGGCTACCCGCTCGTCTTCTGTTCTCGGCTCCAGTTGTGAGGCTGAGATATACGCAGGGGCCATGGCTGCACAGGAGCTTTGCTGGCTCACCTACTTGGTGACTGACCTCGGAGAGCCGCCTCGTTCTCCTCGAGTGCTGTACGTAGACAACAAGGCCATGCTGGCCTTGTGTCAGGAGCAGAGACTGGAGCACAGAACGAAGCACATTTCTCTTCGCTACTTCTTAGCTCGTGAGCTACAGCAGCGTGGTCAGCTTTGACTTGCGTACGTGGCCTCTTAGGCCAACACTGCTGATATCTTCACCAAGGCACTCGCGCCTTGTGATCATCAGCGCTTCTGTACTCAGCTGGGCCTTGTGCCTACCTTGCCTCACTTGATCACTTCTTGACCTTGTTTGTACTGTTACATATATATATATACCTGCTCTTGCTTGATTAGCCTTCTATATATGTAATCTTGCATGTGAACTGGCCTTGTGGCCTTGAACTTGTGCTCAGAATGTGTGGTGACGTTGTGATCCACCCTGAGCTTGCTTTGCCTTGCTTTGCTTGACTGGTCTTGTGACCGCTTGCTCTCCCCCACTTTGCCTATGGGGGTGTGTCAAACTCATACACTCTAGTCTGTGTAGGCTGTAGTGGGGTAGCTTATATGTGGTACAACACTTTAGGGTTTGGTACTTGTACTTCTCATGCTGCTCAGTTAACTCATTCCTCGTTTCATTTTTTACATGCAGCACCACAGGGTGCGGAGGCCTCCGCAGGTTCCCTGCGGGTGGGACAGAGGACACGGCAGCGAGATGTTAACGATAAGGACACGAAATAGTGCAGGAATTTAAAATGAATAGCCAACTCACCCTTCTTCGTCTTCAAGTGAATCCCTTCACGCATGAACCACCTAGCGTAGCGCGCTCGCACGGCAGCCTTGAAGCACCGGTTGATGGAGACGTCCAGGGGTTGAATCTGGCTCGTACAACCCGCTGGAATGACTGCAGGGGTGATGCTGTGCGTGCGGTACAACTGAAGCATGGTCTGGGTGATGTGGCCGCGGTAGGAGTCCAACACCAGCATCACACGCCTCGCGCTCTTGCCGCACTGGGGGTTCAGATGGGGAAGCACCTCCTTGGACAGCCAGGTCTGCACAGCGCTCTCGTCCATCCACCCGTTGTCCTGTGCTTGGACCACGATTCCTGCCAGGCACACAAGGGACAGACGGACATCAGCACAGTGGGGCACGCTCATGAGGCAGGGGCAAGGTTGAAGTCATGGCGCTTACCGTCCGGAATCTCACAGTTGGGGACGTTCTTCATCTTGAACCACACCCACGGCCGCAGCTTCTCCCCGGATGCAGTGCACGCGAGCATCACCGTCAAGCGCGTCTTCTGGTAGCCTGCAGTGCGGATTGGGACCGAGCGCGCGCCACGGTGCTCGATCGTCCTCTCGGCCGGCATCTCCACGAACAGTGGCGTCTGGTCCGCGTTGATGATACGGGCCAGGTCGATGTTGTGTCGCGCCCTGTTGATGCGCACGAACTTCCAGAAGGACTCGCAGTCCTTCGCGCACTCTCCAAACGGGATAGGAACAGAAGCGAGGGACACTTAGACAACGAGCAATGTAAGACATGCATACAATGGGCCGTGCGCGGCACGAACTCCTTATCCACGCACCTGCCTACAGACGTTGTCCGACCTTCGTCTTCACCCGCATCACCAGGTTCCAGCGGTCACGGAAACGCTGGCTCTAGTGAGAGCTCGTGTTCCAGTTCTTGCCGGGGTAATGCTTCTTCATCCACTCGCGGCTCCACTTTTGGGTGTCCTTCACCGAGATGGCCACCCCGTTAGCGCGCTGAAGTCAGATGTAGCGGTACAACGCTGCCTCCATGTCGGGGTAGTGTGCATGGCGGCCCCCCCCGTGCATCCGCTTGCGGCAGTTAGTCGCGCCCTTGTAGATGCCCGCAGCCGCCTCCGCGCACCAGCGTCTGATGCAGGCGACGCTCGCGGTTGAATCCAAGCTAGTCTTCTTCAAGGAGCCGAGCTCCTGATAGCGGCGCGCCCACTTAACCTTCTCACGCACGGTCCAGCCGCGGCGCTTCTTCGTAGTGTCTTTGCTGCAAGGGGAAGGTGGGCGGGTGTTGGGATTGTGGAGGGTGGGGTCCTTCGGCGCCTCCTTCTCAGGGAACGTGGGAATCGGGCCCGCCGCCGCCGCTTACTCATCGTCGTTGCCCAACGCCTCGTTGACGATGATGTCGTCAGGATTCGGCGCCTTCTTCGCCTTTTTCTTTGCCGCACCCTTGCTGGATCCAGGGTCTCCGTCGTCCTTGCGCTTCTTGTTGCTTGTGCGGCCACGAGCAGGGGCCTTTGCAGGGGCCTTAGCAAGGGACTTAGTTGGGGCTTCCACGACCTTTGCCTTTCCCTTCTCTGCAGCGGTGAGTAGGGGGCGACGCTCCTCCCCGGGACTGTCGTCGTCACAGAGCACCACGCGGGCGCGCTTCGTCGTGGACTGTAGGCGATGGCGCAGCCTCCGCTTCAGTAGCGGAACGTCGTCGTCTGTCCCAAGGCTCCACGGGTCGTCGTCGTCGCCCTCACCCTCAAATAAGACGGCATCCGCAGCCACCTTGTCCGCCTCCGCCACCGCGTCCGCATCCGCAGGCGCCTCTGTCTCGAGTTCCGCCGCCGCCTCGTCGGCAGCCTCATTCGCATCCACCGCCGCTTCCTGTGCCTCCGCGTTGTCACCGCGAGCATCTTCACCTCCGTCGTTGTCGGAATCACCAGCCCGCCACTCTTCCACCTCGTCGTGGCTCCTGACCGGCTGATTCCACCATTCGTCCTCCTCGATGTCGGCAGTACCAAATTCGTCGCCCGAAGCGCTGTCATCGTGGCCGTTCTCCGGCCAATCCTCCTTGGCGTCGTCGCCGTGTGCTTCGTCTCCGTCTTCCCCGTCACAGCTCGCACCGGAGGCGGCGGTAGGACTTCCCGCCTTGCTCGCGTTCTTCGCCATGGCTACGCGGATGTCATCGTCGGGCGAGTTAATTCGCCCGTAGTTATTCACCTGCACATGAGGACGAGGTGAGGACTTGCCTAGGGGTACCTGCGCATGGTTAGAGAGCCTGTCGAGAGCAAGGTTGAGGTGAGAATTCAACTTCCATGAGCACCAAATGAAGTGAAAGCCCGACTACCCCCCCCAGCCAGAGTGCCCCATCCACAGGTGCCGAGCCGCTCCTCTACGAGGCATCTCCTCGTAGAGGACAGCCTGACGCTGCCAACGTGCTGCCAGCAGCGTTCTAGAAGCTGCCATGCGCTGCTGGCAGAAAAACGACGCTGGCAGCATCATTAGATGCTGCCAGCACACAGGAATCTTGCCAGCGTTGGCAGCTTTGCTGCATCACCACCGAGGTTGGCCTGTTTTGAGAAAATGAGAACGAGAATGAATGAACTATGAATGAAATAAGTACAAGTACTAACCCTAATTGGGTTGTACCCCTTGTGGGCTACCCCACTATAGCCTACACAATATGCAAAAGCTATATGTTCTGACACACCCCCATAGGCAAAGTGGGGGAGAACAAGGGGTCTCAAGACCAGTCAAGCACAGCAAAGCAAAGCAAGCTCAGGGTGGATCACGAAGTCACCACACAGTCCGAGCACAAGGTCAAGGCCACAAGGCCAATTCACATGCAGGGGTAGACATATATATATAAGGCTAAACAAGCAAGAGCAGGTACATATATATATGCAAGAGTACAAACAAGGTCAAGAGGTGAGCAAGTGAGGCAAGACTGGGACAAGTCCCAGCTGAGTGCAGAAGCGCTGATGATCACAAGGCGGAAGTGCCTTGATGAAAACATCAGCAGTGTTGGCCTCAGGAGCCACGTACGCAAGTCGCAACTGACCACGCTGCTGCAGCTCACGAGCAAGAAAGTAGCGGAGAGCAATGTGCTTCGTTCTGTGCTCCAGGCGCTGCTCTCGACACAAGGCCAGCATGACCTTGTTGTCTACGTACAGCACTGGAGGAGAACGAGGCGACTCTCCAAGGTCGATCAGCAGGTAGGTGAGCCAGCGAAGCTCCTGTGCAGCCATGGCCCCGGCGTAGATCTCAGCCTCACAACTGGAGCCGAGAACAGAGGACGAGCGAGTAGCCCGCCACGAAACAGAGCCGGAACCAAGACTGAAGGTGTAACCCTGGGACGACCGCTGCGTAGCCTGGTCGTCAGCCCAAGAAGCGTCCGCGTGCCCAATGAGGACCACTGGACTCCGCCCTCCAAGCACTAGCCCCATGCCCGAAGTACTGCACAAGTAGCGCAACACCCTCTTCGCTGCAGCCAAGTGCTCTGGTCTGTGTCTCCCAGGAGCAACATAGCGTGCAAGAATGCTAAGAGGGTATGCAAGGTCAGGTCGTGTGCAGGTCATCAGGTACATGAGGCAGCCAACAAGCTCTGGGTACGGGCCACTCAACTCTACGGACTCATCAGAAGGCAGAGCTGAGAGCGAGTGGCGAGTAGACAGAGGAGTGGCCTGAGGCAAGGAGTACGTGAAGCCGAAGCACTGAAGGACCTGCTGCACCATGTGTGACTCAGTCAAGGTAATGGTGCGGCGTGCTCTGTCTCGGGTGATCTGCAAGCCAAGGTAGCTGCGCAGTTCACCCAGGTCTGTGCACGTGTGTCTCTTCTGCAGCTCGGACTTCACGTAGGCGAGTCCAGCAGTGTCAGCTGTTGCAAAGACCAAGTCGTCGACGTACACGAGGATGTAGAACGGCGGCATAGAGGTGTCGGTGCGCAGAAACAACGACGGGTCAGCAGTAGAAGGAGCAAACCCAAGAGCCGCAAGCGTAGTCCTCAGTGTGTCGTGCCACTCACGTGGTGCCTGGCGGAGACCGTAGACTGGCCGTTGGAGGCTCCACTGGGTGCCAGGAGGGAAAGTCCCAGTGAAGCCAGGTGGACGGCGCAGCCAGATCTCCTCGTGCAGGCTACCCTGCGAGAAAGTAGTGCTGAATTCAAGAGAGTGAAGCTCGTAGTCGCGCTGAGCGGCTATGTGCAGCAGCACCCGAAGAGTGGTCATCTTCGGGGTGGGAGAGAAGGTCTGAAAGTAGTCAACTCCCTGCCGCTGACTGAAACCACGAGCGACGTACCGCGCCTTGAAGACAGGTGGAGAGCCCGGCAGCCGCTTCACCCTGAAGATCCACATGCCACTGACGATGTTCGTCCCAGGAGGGGGAACCGCGTCAACGTAGGTGCCTGTGGACTTCCACGAAGCCATCTCTGCATCCATAGCTGCCTGCTACTGAGAGGAGTAGGGACCCTCTACGGCCTCCGCGTAAGAGCGCGGAGTCGGGATGTCTAGTGCATCCAGGTCTCCCTCAGGGGCAAGCAGTACGGACGCGAGATGAGGTGAAGCAGCAGCCAGACACTAGAACTCCTCCTGCCTGTCCTCAAGGACGTCCGTGCCAAGAGCACACTCACCCCCGACGGACGGAGGACAGACAGACGCAGACTCAACAACAAGGCTAGCAGCGTAGTCTAGACGACAGCGAGCAGCAAAGTCAACGGGCTCAGCAACAAGAGCAGACGCAGCAGTGGACTCAAAAGAGGGGTCAGTGACGACAGTAGCAAGGAGACGCGTGACATTAGGACTGGCAGCACGAAGAGTGTCCGACTCCGGATCGGCCAGCGCATGGAGAGAGGACTCAGGAGGAGAAGGCAAAGGGGCACGCAGAGGAGCAGTGGACGGACGCAGAGACATCCGGTGCGTGCCAGGGACAGGAGGAGCACGCTGACGCGAACCGCGACCACTAGCGCGAGAAGCACGAACAGGCGACACGGGACGAGACGCAGGCTCACGACCCTCAGCAAGACCTCCAGTAGGACCAGTGTAAGGAGAGGGAGCAAGCAGAGGGGAGGCGGGCTCTAACTATGACTGAGACTGGACAGGCGGTGGACACTCTACTATACGGCCGAGGCCGCGCGGCAACTCCAGACACAGCAGGGACAGCACCAGCACCCTCAGAGGCAGCACCAGCGCCAACAGCACCTCCAGCTCCAGGACCTCCAGTAGCACCAGCAGCACCCGCAGCTGGACCACCACCAGGACGGACAGCAGTAGTCTCAGCACCAACACCCTCAGCAGCTCTAGCTTGTCGGACCCGCAGGCTCAGCAGCTCCGGGACAGGCGGCACCAGCACCCTCAGCAACCGAAGAAGCTCCAGCTCCAGCAGTACGGCTCCAGCGGCGAGTAAACCACTCGCGCAGCTCCTGTGGAGAGAGGGGCTCCCGCCGAGACAGAGCACCCGGAGAACCTCCAGACTCAGCACCGCCAGACGCTACAAGGGGAGGTCTAGCGACCGCAGGCTCCGCACCTCCAGGCTCAGCAGCTCCAGACGCAGTACCCCCTGGCTCAGCACTCCCAGGCTCAGCACCCCCAGGCTCAGCACCCCCAGGCCCAGCACCCCCAGTCGCACTACCCCCAGGCTCAGCACCCCCAGTCGCAGCACCCCCAGACTCAGCACCCCCAGGCTCAGCACCCACGCGCGCAGCACCCCCAGGCTCAGCACCCGCAGCAGTACCAGAGTCACCAGTAACCTCGACCGGCTCGACTGCGTCTACCTGGGACACACCTGAAGGGGCAGGACCCTGAGGGGGAAGGGGGTCTACCGGGGGGGGACCTGGCACGAGGAAGTGCGGCGGCCGGGGGAGGGAAGGAGTGCGGTAGGGGAAGAGGCGGTAGAAGGGGACTGACTCGTCGAACGTGACGTCCTGGGAGGACAAAACACGACGAGAGGAGGGGTGGCAGAACTGCCACCCTGGTGCGTCAGGGGGGAAGCCTAGGAAGACACAGGGAGCAGCATGAGGGGACAGCTTGTCGCGGACAAACGCCCGAGATCCCCAGACACGGAACGCAGACGCATCGCCGACCTTCCCCGTCCACAGTAGAGCTGGGGAGGTCTCCGGCCGGGAGACCCTCGGGTGAAGGTTGATCTGATGCGCCGCGTACTGAACCGCAAACGGCCACAGAAAATGGGGGGCAGCCGCATGCATCATGGATGTACGAGCAACGTCCATGACCATGCCAATGCGGCGCTCAGCAATCCCATTTTGCTGTGGAGAGTCCGGAAGCGTGAAGGTCTGGCGGATGCCTCGCGCACGTCAGTAGGCTTGCAGAAGGCTAGAGGAGAATTCTCCGCCTCGGTCAGAGTGCAGACGCAGAACAGGAAAGTCTGAGCCGAAGCTCCTCCTGAGCTGGAGACGAGCTGCGCGGATCCAGTCGATCAACACCGCAGTGACATCACCCTTGCTGCGCAAGGGGAAGACTGTGGTGTAACGCGAGTAGTCGTCAACCACCAGCAGGAAGTAGCGCTCGTGACCCTGTCCACGGACGCGGGCCGGGCCCCACACGTCCAAGTGAAGCGTCTGCAGCGGAGCCTCTGTCGAGGGAAACTGAGAGGAGTGAGGGGCAGCTCGGAGCCGCCCCTCGACACAGGGGACACAGGAAGGACCAGGCCCCGAAGGAAGGGGAGGGAGGGACTGGGGGAGACCAGAGACCAGGACACGGGAGGCCATGCCCCGAAGACGAGGCATGGACGGGTGCCCAAGACGGTGGTGCCACAGGAGAGTCTCGTGAGACAGGAGGCGACACGAGCAGGGGGCAGACTCAGGACCAGACCTGGACGCAGCAGCAAACACCTGACCTGACGCAGCTACCTGGCCAGACGCAGAGACAGGAGGAGACGCAGTGGTCAGGGTGTAGAGACTCGACCCCGGCCTGCGTGAAAACGTGGCCAGGTGTCGGCCTGAGCGGGCATCCGAGCAGTGGGTCACCCGCTGACTCGCATGAGTGAACTGGTGAACCCCCGCATCCTGCAGGTCAGCACCACTCACCAAGTTCGTCGAGAACGAGGGGAGGTACAGACCAGACAAGGTGCCCGAGGGGGCAGCTGGACACGGGAGGACTGTGGAGAAGTGAGAGAGGATAGGACCCCCAGAGGGGTCAGCCAGGGAGACTGCAACCGGCCGACCAAGCGGCGTGAGTGTGGTGCGGTCTCAAAAGAAGGAGCGAGAAGCCTCCGAGTCAAGCGTGAAGGTGAGGGAGGCCGAAGCCGACGCAGTACCTGAGAGCGCAGCCTCACCAGTACCTGAGGGCGCAGACGCGCTGGCACCTGAAGCAGCAGCCTCACAAGCACCTAGCGCAGCAGTACCTATGCCCGGGTCGGGCGGGAAACACCGGTAAGAGTCACCCTCATCACTAATAGTCACAGCATACATGGCAGCAAGGATAGCATCAAAGTCAAGATCATAGATAGCTACG